CCCCGACGCAGAGTCACAGGCGTGGAGGCCCCAGTGCAGAGTCACCGGCGTGGTGTCCCCGACGCAGAGTCACCGGCGTGGAGGCCCCGACGCAGAGTCACCGGCGTGGAGGCCCCAGTGCAGAGTCACCGGCGTGGTGTCCCCGACGCGGAATCACTGACGTAGAGGCTTCAATGCAGAGTCACGGACATGGTGTCCCTGACACAGAGTCACCAGTATGGAGGCCCCGATGCAGAGTCACTGGCGTGGTGTCCCTTTAGGTGGTCGGGTTACGCCTTGAGCTGGTAATGGAGCCGGGCCACACTCATAGTTAATGACTGGATTCGGTGGCTGGGCCCAGCCCTGACATATTCTGGTGTTTTCCACGCCTTGTTCAAGCGACTCTGCTTTTCAGGCCCACAGGGACATACCCGCAGTGCCTTCATGCCACACTCTCCGTCACAGGGCACACATACAGGGGGCAATTTTATAGACACCTCTGCCTATATGTGTGTCTCTAGATTATAGATAGAAAGCCACAGAACATGAAAACTCTCTAAACCCCCAACCCTATACGTATGAGGTAACAGGTCTACCTATTAAACAATCCATCTTCCGTTCTACATCACTGTTAAAACCAGCAAATACATTGGATACAACGTGTACCTGTATCTGAAGGGTTTCAAACAGGATGTGGGCGGGGCTTGTGTGAGCTCCACTTCACATGTCCCTGTCCACTACCACCTGTCAATGACGTCATCGGTGCCCCAAGTGTGGGGCGGCCCTGTCGGCTCGGTGACGCAGCTCTGCCGTTCTCCTAAATGACCCGCCGAGGTGACGAGCGTCTCAGTCCTGAAACCTGAAACGGCCGGGGCCGCCCGGGGGCCCGTAGGTCTCTCCCGGACACCTGACTCTTCAGAGCTGCAGCGCTGAGCCGCGAACCAGCGTGTGTCTGTCTGCGCGCCGTCCCGCTCATGTCACTCCCCGATGCCACCTGACTGAAGGTGGACTGAAAAAAAATAAAACAAATTGGAAAACTGACTGACAAATCAGAGAGGGCCCTCTGCACCGCCCTTCCCACCATGGCTAACACACAGTCACAGTGTTAGCCGCGTTTAGTCCTCCTGCCTCCGGTTTAACACCGACACTCCCGTTCAGACACCAAGCAGTGTGCAAATGGATGCTCCTATCTCCATGTAGTACAGTATGCAGAACCCCTGCGCAGAGTATCCCTGAATCTCTCTGCCCCCCACAGATATTCATTCCTCCTTAATATCATGCCTGTTAATCAGTATCTCCCTTCCGGAAAGCTCTTAAATGGTCTCAGTGTTCCTCGAGCCCAGAACTCATCATGGAAGGTTTGAATAAATCCTGACCCACACTTTTCCTTTCTTTCCCATTAAACAGGAAATTGTTTGGGTAAATGCCACAGGAATTCCTGCCCGCTCGGCTCACCCGCCCGGGCCAGCTGGCGCCCCCTTCTGGTCGCCCCATCTGCTGGTATTCTTCGTGCTCATTAACAGGACCCCAGTCAGATTGTGCCGGGGGAGCAAGGAATGCGTTGCCACAGCATCCCCTCTGCCGGCTATGGGGAGGTCATCAGAAACCACACAATCTCAGTGCTTTGCGTCCCCCTCATTACGCCCAAACATCGCAATGTTTAGGAGCCAGATTATAAGTTCGTAGTGATTCTTAGAGGGGACACCCCCTCCACCTCTAATTTAACAAGCTATGAGAACATCGCAATGGAGATTCTATGATTTTTTTAAGGTGAGGAGCATAAAGAGGGAACAACCATTTCATTAGCCAATGATATGTTAGGAATCAGTGTGTGACAAAGGAGGTGGTACTCCAGGTCTGCCAGGCCCTGGCCAATAGGTAGCTTTCAGCAGGGGCCAGTGCCCTTGTGGCCCCGCCCCCCTGGAACATTAACAGACACACACAAACAAAAGTTTGCAATTATATCTTCATGGGGACTCTCCATTCATTTCTGTGGGGAAAACATTTTTAGTTTTCTGATTGCATTCATAGATCTTTGTGGGGACCTGAAAAAAGGTCCCCACAACATCACAATAACAGGTTCCACACACACATACACACACACACACACACACACACACACAAAACACCCCCACATCACACCTGCTGTGGTGGGTTTGGGCCTGGGGGTGTCTCTGTGGGACTTGTGCAGTATAACTGAACAGGGGCTTGAATATCCACTGCTAGCATAGCCTTTGGAGATGGGAAGTGGGGCTTGAATCGATGAGCACCCCCCCCCCCCACCACCACCACCACGATGGTATTTTGTACCCATAAAGTGTGATCAGTTTACTTGCAAACCTCTGCGCCCGCAGCCCTTACTGGAAACAATGGGCACATTGTGGTGCAGAAATGAATCCTGGGAATTCATTAGCCGAATCAGATATTCAATAGACGTGACCTGAGATAATTGCACGAAGGGTAACAAATGGCAGACGCGGGCCAGCCCGGACCCCCCCAGCTCCCCTCAGACGTGGGACGCGTCTGTCTCCTTTAAAATGGAAAATATGACCCGGCATCGATAATCATAACAGCGGCCGGCGGCTGGATCCAAATCCTGCTCGGTCTTCATTTTGATACAACGCAGATCCTCACTTCCTCTGGCAGGGTGAGTCACGTGAAACTCAGACTGTAAACACGCCACTTCACACATGGGCACACGCTAAAGCCGTGTGCGTGTCAGAATGCAGAATAACCTGCCTTTTGTTACCTTTAACTGAAAATGTACAGTATATATTAATATAAACCCTGTAAAGGGGACCTCATACTATCCTATGTTGTTGTTGTAGTGTTTTGTAGCATTTTATTAAGAATTACAACGGCGATAGTCTATTTCACAAACCATTGCACAAAATGAAAGCAGTGCTCTAATTCTTCTTTTCCCAGCATGCACGGCTCTCTCTCCCGACCTGACTGAGTCACCTCTGTTCGCTATTAAAATATATATCATCCCCGGGATGAGTTCCCAGTAATTAATGGCCTGTTCTGCGAGGTCGCTGTGAGATGAACCCACAAGCAGTGCAGGTCAGGCCAGTTAAAGCGTGGTCCGAACATGCCTAATTACCAGGGTAGGACCGCCTCTCCGAAGCCCTGATCCGAGGAGTTGGGCAGTGGTACGTCTACAATCTGTGGCGTGCGGTCAGTCGACATGAAATCTGCCGGTCCCCAAAATGTGTCCAGGGGACACGCTGACCGAACTGCTGGCCCAGACGGCCAGGGGCCTGCCTGAGGGCATCACATGTTCATATCAAGCCCCTACATTTGTGTGGCATTACTGTCTGTTACCCCGGTGTGACCATGTCTGCCCCTTAAAGCCCATGTGGAGGCCTGGGCAAGCTTCACCACTGACACCCCTCCCCCAGCAAGCTTAATCAACCATTCTCACTGTGTCATGCTAAGTCGGCGCCCCGTCAGTAGATGGTGCCCTAGGCGGCTGCCTATTTCACCTAATGTATTGACTGGCAGATCGCATCTGTCCTGGATGCCACTGTGGATTCAGGCCCTTAAACAAACCCGGTTCACCACCAGCACTGGTCACTTCACCCAGTGAACATTACCCACACTGCACCTTTTCCTACATCTATGTTGTATATATCGTATCGTTACATCTCATATTTATTATTTCTACAGTAGCCACCGTATGAGTTACATTGTGTGGGGGCCCCTAGCTCCCCCATGTTAGTGTATATATATATATATTCTCTATTATTATATGTATTAGCTATTATTCTCCTTCCCCCCCCATGTGCTGCACCTGTCTTGTTTACAGTCTCTGCACTTTATGTATACATCCCGTATCGCGGTCCTCAGCAATGTTATTTCCTGCCACTGTACGCTGCGGATTGTATATCGATGGAACGTCAATAAAGACCCGCTTGACTTGACTTAAAGACCTACGGGCCCCCCCGAGAAACATAAGGACAACGAACGGTGGTGTCTGGAAAGACTTTCCGATGGCTTGCTGTCGTCTTCTCAGAGGACGCTGTGACCTTCCTCCTACCTTTTTGTTACGTAATTCGCTAATGTAGCGCTCAGCCGTCGTTAGCTATTTTGCGCCTCGGTGCTAATAGTGTGTAGCCAGTGCTAATGAACAATTCCGGCAAGGTTTGTAACCCCGCAAAACTGAGACCGACTTTTCTTTTTTCTGACAGTGGACGAAGGATCACGGATTCGCGTCGATATGCAAATGGGAAGCGTGCCACATGTTTATCTTTTCTGTTTCATTGTTTTGTCAAACCTTCTCAATGAAGGGTTTTACCGCAAAGCTGTGATTACATTCTCGATCTGCGGCTAATGTCCGCCTCCCGCTAACTAATGGGCCTTTGTGGAAGGTCACTTGAGGCCAGATACTGGCTACTTTAACGCTTCATATTTTGTGTAGATGGGTAATTTTCACTTACCTGTGGTACAAAAACAGTAGGTAAACTTTTGGATGAACGAAAATCGCTAACTAGTACTGAAGATTAATCATTAATTTTAAATGAGACATTTGTGTCTCTAACCAAGAAGATACTGGACGCAAATGTGTCACTTTCTCCTTTTGGAGACCTCTGAAGGTCTTTCTCTGTTAATCATTAAGATTTCAGAGGGTTGAGTCTCAAGCTAGTGGCCTTACCCCAGGTCTGGGTCTGGGTCTCTACCATCAACCCAGACTTCACCTCACTCTGACTTGTTCCCACCAGATCTGCTGCTCTGCTGTTTACCAGCTGGTGCTAATGCCTGGTTGAAATGCAGGCTATTTTTACGACATGCGTTAGCATCCAGAGTCTCACCGTTACCCGCTAAACTTTAGCTAAATAAAAAACTACGTTTGACTGGAGGTGAGCTTTGCGTGTGTTTCGTGGCCACAGAGGCCGCAGAATGCGGGGGAGGTGTTTTGGGAAGCAAGCCGCATTGCATTGTGGTCTCCTGGCTGGTTTTATACCCACGTAGATGCAGAGTCATTTTTCCAGCCTGACTGTGGTGACTCTGTCCCCTGGAGCCTTGGATGGACTTTTGGTGGATGTGTGTCTGTAACGGCCAGCAGGGGGCCTGTTGCAGGGCCAGGTAGCGGGTGGGTCTCCGGGTTGGGGGCAGAGGGATCGATTCTAGTCTGGCTGGAGGCAGGGGGAGTTAGGGTAGCCATGAGGGCAGGTCGGCAGCAGGTAATGCGAGCACGGTGCCCTTCAGTGGCACCTGCTGAGACTGCGTGTCAAAACTGTCCATGCTGCAGAGCAGAACTAGTCACCCATGGGCTTGTACTTCTGGAAATACTCCAGTCTCACCCTAAACTCACACATTTCTATCAGTGACTGTTACAGAGCAGCACATGTATGATGAAATTTTTATCTATTTTGCTATTTAGACCCAAGAAGCTTAATTCCTGTCCTGTACTTCTTAGGTTACTTTGTAGGCCTACACCAATTAGATAAAATAATTCAAATAATACCGTACGGATATAAGTTATAAAAAGTAAACTTTTCAGTTGATACAGCCAGTTCTGTTCTTAATACAGCATTTCACAAACCTTTTACTGAATCACGCAGAGATGCAAGATAGAAAACAATGGTTTTTCAAAGACAGGGGTTGACTTTGATAGTGTGATCTTGCGTGGACATTTCCAAGGCTGAAAGCCACGGTCTAATTTGCTGCTATGGGACGACCAACGGCCCATTTTCTGAAGACTGCAGAGCGGCCTAATCAGTACCTTAGAGCTTCTGGGAGCCCGCGTCGTTTGGCCAAGCGCCATAAAACAAAAAGGTGGCTGGGACAATGAATCACAGAGCTATAAATCCGGGTGAAAGTGCATCGCGAAAAGTTTCTTACAGCCCCTCCGAGGCTGCGTCTCCATAAGTGGGGGGGATATTTACTGCTCTACGTGCTGTAAATATCTGGGAGGAGTTACGTCAGCCACGTGACGCCCGGCCTGAGTTAGCAGCACCATGCTGGCCTGAGCGTGGATCTGAGCGATGATCTGTCACTGAGGCCTGC